GGAAAATTTGCATATGTAGGCTGGGCAGGGGTATGTGGACGCAGGAGACTCATGTGCTCATAACAACTTCAATTCTCCTTACTGAAACCACTGTTGCTATACTTCATGATTCGGGGCAAGCTTTTGCTTAGTTACATAAGAGACGCCTTGCAACAATACACTGTTCTCAATGGATAAGAAGGGCACAAAGGAACCAGTCAATCCATAAGGTGGTGGTCGCTATGCGAAAGCTTGCCCCGAATCACGAGGTATAGCAAGTGTATTTAGTCTGGGGAATTGAAATCGTTATGTTTATGTGCAGTCAGATAACTCAGTGCACAAGATTTTATTCAAAATTAACTCGCAAATGGCTTATTCAATCCAAACCAACCCGGCCTACTCGTACAACAGAGAAAGACCATCAGAAAATGTGCTATACAACGCACCAGTACTTTCAAAACCCGTTCAAAATTCTATAATTCACATTCCAGCACCGCTATAGGCCTATAAAGTAGTGTTGCGTTCCCTAAATATCAAGTCGATGGTAGCATGGACTTCATTAGTGTCTACGGGATGTGATATTTGGGGTCAACAATCTATTGAAGGGTGGACGTGAAACAAGGGTTTTGGGTGACAGTCAAACTGTATGGTTGGTTTATTGCTCTCACTTCTCTTCATCAAAGTTCAATGTGGGTTTGAAGAAGGTGTAGCTTAACACAATACAACACACAAAAGGGCAAAGTTATAGAGAGGCGAAGTTGTATATCAGTTTAACTAAACTACGTTTTGGCAGGACCATTGGAAATGCAAGTCAGACGGAGTGGGTACGGTACGTGTGTGTAGCATCGCACAACTAGGCTACACTCATCAGGCCGGGCCGTGGTGGGAGCTGCCCCGGACCACCACGGTGACTAGCAAGGGCTGGACGGGGCCAGTGCCGGTATGTACCGACCGCACTGCCGCTCAGACCGCAATGAGTTGAGCGCAATGATAAGATCGCCGCACTGCGTACCATTGGCTCAGCGTAGAGACGGGGAGGACTGGGCTAGTTAGCAGGACAAGGGTGGCGAGGGACACGGGGG